AAACTTACTGTGACACATTTAGTTGCACAATAACAATTGTGTATTTGAAAGTAAAATAAAGTAAAATTCACATAAACTTACTGTGACACATTTAGTTGCACAGTAATAATTGTGTATTTGACAGTAAAATAAAATTTACATGAACTTACTGTGACACATTTAGTTGCACAGTAATAATCGTGTATTTGACAGTAAAATATAGTAAAACTCACATAAACTTACTGTGACACATTTAGTTGCACAGTAACAATTGTGTATTTGACAGTAAAATAAAGTAAAATTTACATGAACTTACTGTGACACATTTAGTTGCACAGTAATAATCGTGTATTTGACAGTAAAATATAGTAAAACTCACATAAACTTACTGTGACACATATATATATGCATAGGAACAATTGTGTATTTGACAGTAAAATAAAGTAAAATTCACATAAACTTACTGTGACACATTTAGTTGCACAGTAACAATTGTGTATTTGAAAGTAAAATAAAGTAAAATTCACATAAACTTGCTGTGACGCATTTAGTTGCACAGTAACAATTGTGTGTTTTACAATGAAATGATAATCAACGTAAACTTGCTTCTCAAACATTGAAGTATCGATTTCTGGCAGGGAGAAGTTATTATCATTTCTATAAAATAATTTACGATGCTATATTTCACGTGCTTATAAGGCAGATTGTTGAAATGCCTCAGGATAGTGTAGAAGTTGCCCACACAGAGTGAGCTCTTGCTATTGTAATTATATTTAAAAACAAAACTGAAACTGAAATTATTACGTGATGTTGTTTAGCAAGTAATTTTAATGACGTATTCTTTGCCATGGAAACCAAACCACAAGGTTTATGTTTACGTCGGTCGTATATCTCTTTCAAGCAAATAACAAACGTCTCCAGTCTGGGTAAACAACTCTTACTAGCTAACTTTTTTTGCACACTCTTGTTTTTCTGTATGTAGAATATTGATTTCGTACACATGTCTTTACATCATACTCGATAATATCGTCATCATTCGGTTAAGTCAAGATGAGTTCTTGACTAACTTTATGGTTAGTCAAGATGAGTTTTTGGCCCAATTTCTGGCCAGTCAAGATGAGTTTGACCCACCTTATGCCTAGTCAAGATGAGTTTTTGACACACATTATGCCCAGTCAAGATGAGTTTGACCCACTTTATGCCTAGTCAAGATGAGTTTTTGACACACATTATGCCTAGTCAAGATGAGTTTTTGACTAACTTTATGCCTAATCAAGACCAGTTTTTGACCCATTTTAAATCTAGCCAGGAAGAATTCTTAATGCGCTTTACATGTAGACAAAATGAGTTTAACTAATTTTACCTTTAATACAGATTATTTAAAACAATTTAATTATAGTAAAGATGAGTTTAATTCACTGTACGTTTAATTAACACAGTCTTCACACACTTTACACGTAGTCAAGATTAATTTAACTCACTCTACGTTTAATCAACACGATCTTCACACACTTTACACGCAGTCAAGATGAGTTTAATTCATTCTACGTTTAATCAACACGATCTTCACACACTTTACACGTAGTCAAGATGAGTTTAATTTATTCTACGTTTAATCAACACGATCTTCACACACTTTACACGTAGTCAAGATCAATTTAACTCACTCTACGTTTAATCAACACGATCTTCACACACTTTACACGCAGTCAAGATGAGTTTAATTCATTCTACGTTTAATCAACACGATCTTCACACACTTTACACGCAGTCAAGATGAGTTTAATTCATTCTACGTTTATTCAACACGATCGTCACACACTTTGAGATGAGTTTTTAATCTATTTAATAACATTATATTATTATTAAATTGTTTTATAACCTTTTTTCCAACAAATATTTTAGTAAACAAAATGTAGCAAAATGTGTCGGTTTAAGTTAATAATTCCAGGAAACAGTACTTTTTATCACATACAGAGTCCATTCAAAATATTTACTTCGTCTTATTTGATGTTCACCGAAAACTTACATCTGTTAATCAATTAAGTCATTCAGTATTTAGATTGAGAAATACTTACTAGGGGAATTTTCTCGTACTTTAATCCTATATTAGTGTTTGTTTACCCGCGAACTCCTCTCTCTTTCTCGCGCGCTGGGTAAAGTATATTCACTAAGGTTTTCAAATCACTTACTAAACTGAACATAAAAAAACAAATCTCAACATGGCACTATTGACTAAAAAATGTTAATATTACGCTATTAACTAAACATCATAGCATGACGGTAATAATTAAATATATCAATATGACAGTAACAACTATAGACTGTTACATGACGCTAGTAACTACAGTTAATAACATGACAGTAACAACTATAGATTGTTACATGACGCTAGTAACTACGGTTAATAACATGACAGTAACAACTATAAACTGTTACATGACGCTAGTAACTACAGTTAACAACATTACAGTAACAGCTATAGAGTACAGCATGACACTAGTAACTACGGTTAACAACATTACAGTAACAACTATAAACTGTTACATGACGCTAGTAACTACAGTTAACAACATTATAGTAACAGCTATAGAGTACAGCATGACGCTAGTAACTACGGTTAACATGAAAGTAACAACTATAGACTGTTACATGACGCTAGTAATTACAGTTAACATGAGAATAACAGCTATAGAGTACAGCATGACACTAGTAACTACGGTTAACATGACAGTAACAACTATAAGCGTCATGTAACAGTTAGTAACTACAGTTAACAACATTACAGTAACAACTATAGACTGTTACATGACGCTAGTAACTAAAGTTAACAACATTACAGTAACAGCTATAGAGTACAGCATGACGCTAGTAACTACGGTTAACATTACAGTAACAACTATAAACTGTTACATGACGCTAGTAACTACAGTTAACATGACAGTGACAACTATAAACTGTTACATGACGCTAGTAACTACAGTTAACAACATTACAGTAACAACTATAAACTGTTACATGACGCTAGTAACTACAGTTAACATGACAGTGACAACTATAAACTGTTACATGACGCTAGTAACTAAAGTTAACAACATTACAGTGACAATTCTGTATAAGGTTTAATAGGTATACTTCGATGGTAGGCTTACCCTACTGTAAAGGTTTGCCGCGTACAACAGGTCAAACGGTAGAGCCGCAAGAAGATCGACAACGAACCAGCTCCGAACGTAGTGAACAGCAATGGACTTGGACTTGGCGACAACTTCCCCATTCCTGCTGACAAACGTAGTACGAAAATTGATGGCAATGTCTGTAGGAAGAACCATATAGTTTAATAAACCAGAAACGATAAAATACTAAACATGAATAAGGTTGTAGCTTACGGAGCAGTCTATTAAACACAGGACGTTGTAAACTAATTCACATTTGTGACATAATAAACTTGTATCAGTCATTCTGTTAGTCAGGGAGACCTGTTAGGTGGGATGAATCTCTAATAAAGTTTTCCGGTACCTCCTTTTTTCTTTTTTTTTAATTCTGAACATTTTTGAATTCCTTGCAGTATCTGGAGTCTGAATTGCCCACTAGGTGGATCAATTAACACTAGTTTTCAACTATTATGGAGTAAAATCCACATCCCAATACAAAACTCGGAAGTTGCGCAATACAAGATCTGCATATTCAGCTCTATAAATCCGTTTTCTCCACGGTTTTCGCGAGCTCTGTCGACAGCGATGGCCGAAGAAGGCTCGACGAAGCTTACTTGCCGCTTTAAGTTGGTTAAGCGCAGTATCTGCCTGGTGTTGAACACTTCTACTGCAGGAGAAATACAGTCCGCCAACCCCTAAACTCCGCAACTCCATGGCTAAACATTAAAGGAAGTTGAGTTATTTTGGCAGTAAAGTGTTGTATTTAGGTTAATGAATCGAACCGTTTATCGGAGAATAATTTTTTGGTTCTATCCTGAATACTGGAAACCCTTACACCCCTCTACATCCCCAGAATTCTGCTTCATCGACTCAAAGACAATACTACTTCAAAAAATCAGTTTGACAATGTTCTAAGACTGAGTTGAAAGAAGTAACAGAATTTGTGATGTCACAGGCCTAAGGGTAAGCTCCACGTATCTCCTCCAAATATTTCCAGGATACGGATAATTCTGTCAATAGAAGGAGAACATACGCTTAATATCAAAATGATGGATAGTAGGAGCTCGAATGGGCGAGACAGCGAGGACGGCGAAAGTTGTGTATGTGAGAAATGTTGCCCTGAGAAATGTTGCCCATTCTATTATACCATTGCAATCATCTTCAGCTCTTCCTATTTGACATAAATAGTAAGAATCTTCCATATGAATTGCTAATATTTGTTGCTAAATTTTATCATTGGGCTAATTTATGTATAATTGTGGGAGTAGTAAAAATTAGTATAATGTACTAAACGCTCTATATTTCTGTGGTGGTAGTAGACAGGGTTTGATCCTGGGTCTTCTTGAAAGAGAAACTAAGGTGACATTTACTCTTCTGGATGTCTCCCCGATAACGACTTTAATCAACCAATTATTTGAACGTTTTTAAGAGTGGAGGGGAAGGTATACAGATTTGGCTGAATTTTATGCTAGAGTTCATAACAGAGAGTGCTATCAGTTATGTGGCCGTAAAAGGCTTTTTTTTTATCCTTATCTTTCTGATATGAAATTCATATCCCATTATTTCATACTATTCACTTTTATTCTCCAGTCTTTTTTCTCTGGTATGAAGGGTTGTTACACATATATCGGTTTTATCTAGACTTGTATGTCTATTGTGCTCTAGAATTCTAACTTTTGTTGTTGTTGTTTTGTTTATTTGTTTGTTTGTTTCTCCAGTACATTGGAGTCCACATTCACAGGGGGGGGGGTGTTGTAACTGACAGTACATTGGAGTCCACATTCACAGGGGGGTGTTGTAACTGATATTTTTGTCCTCCATTGGGTATCTAAACGGTTTATTGGGTAATAACTGCGATCGTATTTTCTTGTGGTTTCTGAATATTGGTTTGTTTTTACGTTGCTTACACATCCTTTGTGTGTTTACAGAAAGATCTCTGGCATATGGTTGTATGTTTGTCATCTTCCTCCATTTTTGTCTGGGATTCATTTACTTCTTTTGCGAGTGCTCCGTTGTTAATTGGTGGTACCTTTTTGCTTCTCAAGTCTTTCGATATTGCATATCTCGTGTTTATACTATTGGGGCGGTTTGGTTTATTGTTAGGATATCTACCCCGTTCCTGAGGGTTTCCTGTAAATTCTTGTGACAACGAACTGCGCATCTTGTTAACCCTCACGTCAAGGAATGTTTTTTTTTATCTTCCTTTGTTTCTATTCTGAATTATATTAGGATTGTTGTCCATTCAGATGGTTCACTAATACGTGAATTTTGTCTGTACTGTGTATCCGTATTACAAATGTATCATCAACATAATTGAGCCAAACCTTGGGGAGTAAAGTGACTTTTATTAGAGGTCGTTAACTCTAGAAATTATCAAATATTAGTGAATTATTGTTCAGTAACTTAAAAAAGTAACTAATTAATAATTAGGGTTAGGCGATCGTATAGGCCATGAAAATGATTGCTATTGGATTACAAAAATCTTACTTTATTTAACCAACTTTTTGATTTGGATAAACTCGGTGATAGTTTGGTCAAATGTGTTCTGAGCTTCTATTGGTTAATAATATTAATTTACATATCTTATGATTTCTCTTGTTGTTTTTCTAGTTCGTCACTACACCTACCTGCAATAAAAAAAGCTTCGACAATGACGTCAGATATGATTGTCTTATTCCTGGATGGAGTTTCCTTGTTGTTCCGAAAGGCGGCGCTGTAAGGTACGACGATAGCTACGTAGAAAGTAGAAATGAGAACTAGCCAGTCCCAGCAGGTTTTAAATACACCGTAATGGGAAACTATGAATTTAGACTTTTTAATGGCGGCCGTTTTGTACTCGGGAAGCGATGTCGAATGGAGGATATTCTGAAAAAAAAAGATAAACTATCCTCATAAATATTATAATGGATTATTAACTATGATTAGCTTATAACACATAAACGTTTGACTTCACGTCGAGTGTCTCAGATGAATAACTTATAACACAAACTTTTGACTTCTAGCGTCATTAATCACACAAACCTTTGATTACATGTCGAGTGTCTCAGTTGACTAGCCAATCGCTCGAACCCCTGATTTCACGTGTCCTACAAGGTGGTGAAAACAAAGTTGATATAGCACGACGTTTCGTTAGTGTTAACCTGACATCATCAGGCGACAAAAGTACAAGGTGGTGAAAACAAAGTTGATATAGCACAACGTTTCGTTAGTGTTAACCTGACATCATCAGGCGACAAAAGTACAAGGTGGTGAAAACAAAGTTGATATAGCACGACGTTTCGTTAGTGTCAACCTGACATCATCAGGCGACAAAAGTACAATAAAACTGAGGAAAAAATATGTAAAGGGCAGAAACAGAGAAAACTGAAATTTTTGAAAAGCATCAACGGTGTTTGATAAATTGTCCAATCAAGTGTAAGTGTTGGGGGGGGGCAGTGACGTCAGACGAGGGTAGAAGTTATAGTTTCCTAGGAATTTCGAACATATGATTTCGTAAGTCAGATTACGTTGGTCACTTATACTCTTAGGTCATTTTTGTTTATCGGTCAAATATTAGCTAGTTTAGTCGTTTAGGGTTGAGAAACGAAACACTGAGGTTGAGTGCTAGGTTGTTTCCGTTAGGGTTGAGAAACGAAATACTGAGGTTGAGTGCTAGCTTGTTCCGTTAGGGTTGAGAAACGAAACACTGAGGTTGAGTGCTAGGTTGTTTCCGTTAGGGTTGAGAAACGAAACACTGAGGTTGAGTGATAGGTTGTTTCCGTTAGGGTTGAGAAACGAAATACTGAGGTTGAGTGCTAGCTTGTTCCGTTAGGGTTGAGAAACGAAATACTGAGGTTGAGTGCTAACTTGTTCCGTTAGGGTTGAGAAACGAAATACTGAGGTTGAGTTGAAAAATTTTACTAATTTTCTCCAGATGTTTTTGATCTTTGTTGTAGAGTTGCAGGAAAAGGTGTAGACGTTTTTTTTTTGTTGTTGTTGTTTAGGTTTGTTAGGTGTTTTCTTAAAGAAATCTTTGTTTTGAAAGGCGAATATCACGTTGCTTATAATCTGTTGATTTCGATCAAGTAATTTTTGAGACGTCGCGTGTTATTTCACCTTATTTTTTTATTACATTTATCATTATAGCTTCTACTAGGCCCTCATTTCAAATCTTTAACGTATCTCGGTGGAGACATCTTTAATGTAATAATCTTACCAATTCACCCATCTCGGTGGAGCCATCTTTAACGTAATAAACATACAAACTGCCCCATCTCAGTGGAGCCATCTTTTATAAAAGTTTGAACTACAAAGACTTTAGAAGTTCTTCAACTTGTGTTAAATAAATAGCAAAGATTACATTGTTCAGCTTTAATTTGGATTTCATCTTGTCCTGGCGGTAATGTCCAGATAACTGATACAGTACTGCACGACTTCTGCGTCGCTGGTAGTGGCTACTCGGCAAGCATCCTTCGGCATCCAGGAAGCCGTTAGCATCTGTGAGATACAAGACTAAAATAACTAAAACTTCGAGTAAGAAATAGATAAGTGAAACTCGCTACTGGTAAGTGATAGGACACAAACTGCTCGCTAATGGTAAGTGATAGGACACAAACTGCTCGCTAATGGTAAGTGATAGGACACAAATTACTCGCTAATGGTAAGTGATAGGACACAAATTACTCGCTAATGGTAAGTGATAGGACACAAATTGCTCGCTAATGGTAAGTGATAGGACACAAATTGCTCGCTAATGGTAAGTGATAGGACACAAATTGCTCGCTAATGGTAAGTGAT